TCATCGATCTGGAAATGATATATGGAAATCATCATTATTACATATTATTACCCATATGCTCCATGGTGCTGGTATATATTTACCTACAAAACTGTGTGATTTTTAGGGCAAATGTTGGTAAATATTCCGGCACCATGGAGCATATGGGTTATGAACAAGTATTCATAAGTAACATAGAAATAGACATTAAATAAGTAACCTATATCTCGCATCTTGTTGTATTATATTCATAAGTTAGAATTACTTCACAAAAATCGTCATCAACAGCGATTTCGAAACGATCATCGCAGCTGAGACGCTGAAGTCAGGTTGAAGACCCCTGGCGTTATGGATGGGTCCCATGGATCCGAATGGACGATCCCAAGTTGTGGCGTTCTGGCTTCAACCCATCACAAAACAGATTTTTAGATGTTTTAAGTGTATATATATATATTATAATAATACTATTAGATATATATATATATAATGTATATATATATATACGTCAAAACACTCGAAAACTGGAATCCAAACTTGGAATGTTTGAAACAAACAGCTCGAGATTGGTTCGTGCTTTCCGCCACCAAGCCACCTAAGAGAAATATCCAACTAGCACATTGACAGCACTTTGATCTGCTGTTCAGCACCAATATTTGTAATGGCTCATGACATTTCATGACCATTTTCTCCATTCTGCTGCAGCAACCTGTGCTCAATCAAGTAAACCATCATTCAAAAATCAGAAGGCTCAAGATGAAGCTCGGCAACAATGGCGAATGCCCGATTCGCATCAAGCAGCCATACTTAGAAACTCAATGGCGAAATGAGTCCATCAAACATGTTGGATCATTCTTCGAGTGGATGATCCGACCAGTTATCACATCTGACCACCAAAAAGTTTCCAGTGAACATTGTGAACATCATGTCAGATCTTTCATCGGAAACTACTAACAAGATGACAAGATGTAGTTTCAAAAAAACAAAAAATACACCACCCCCGAAGCTCCCTTAGCTTCAGTTTTCCGAACAGTCTTCGCCAGCTGATCGCCTGATTAACAGCTGTTTCACCAGCTGTAGCCGCGACTCATCCCCTCCTGACATCGATGCAACGCCACAGTAACTGACCTTTTCGCCTCTTTCCCAATGAGTCGAAAGCTGTTGAACATGGCCATAGAAATAGTGAGTTTTTCCCATGAAAAATGGTGATTTTCCATAGTTATGGGACAGTTTACCAGAGGGTAATCGATCTGGAAATTGCAGGAAGATTTTTCGGTCTCATGACATGCCGAAGTGAGGTGAGGCAACAGCATGCAGAATCCGAAGTCATACCTGGGTCATACATGTGCTACCTTCTACTTTCAGCACAACCCATTTTCCTGAACCCAACTGTCCGAAGATGTCAGGCAAAAAGAGTGCTTTTTCCAAGTCCGTCCAGGCTTCATTTGCCTGCCAGTCGCACAAAGACCTTCCAAATCTATGATCAATGCATTCCCAAAGTATCCCAAAGTGAAAAGAATTGCTTACTGACGGAACTTTCTCATCAATTAAACCAAAGGAATTCGAAAAAACCATGGCGATCAGCATTCCCACCACTGCAATCTCATGCCATCAGCATTTTATGAATGAATCTAATTGTGCCCCGCATCAAACTCACAAGATCTAACAAGCAGCGCTTGTAGAAGACTCTGACAAACTTCTAACATTTTGGGACAGATGGTGCTATACTGAACTACGTTGGAAGGATGCGCAACATGTTGACATATTTTAAGGACATCTGGGTCTGATGACCATTGAAAATATGGGCCATTTTGGATCTCTCCCAGCTTTGGCGTTTGGACACCCGTCTGCACAGCTCACCTCTTGTTTTCCCAAAGGCTTGGGAGCTTTTACAGCCACTCGCTCGGGGCACGGCTCGCTCAAGAATCTGGGATAGACAGTCCTTGGAGGAAGGAATTTGTGGCTTCATCAAATTGAAAGGACTCTCATAAAGTCTCATAAATCCAGGAAATCATCCGGAAATCCGGACTCTCCAAAATTGAGAGACACCAAAAGAAAACCAAAGCATCCTTTGTGACACACCCAAGGAATCCCAAGGATATTTCTGACCCATGTGCCTTCCCATATGTGGCTGCTCACCAAGGTGCGAAGTGGTCAACGGGTTTCCATCCGTGATGGCATGGATCAAATATGACCTGCTCACCGGCTTCAAGGTTCGGGTGCAAAAAAAATCCATGCTGCATACAAGATGGGGCCCCCAGTCGAGCTCACGTTCAGTTGCCTTATAAGTGGCTTAACTATGGTATTTATGGTAGATATACTACCTATAGTTAATGGAGATTATAATGGTTTATGAACCAACTTATATGTAACTGGGGGGCCCAAGTCAAACTCAAATGTTGTGACTTGCCACAAAAATGCAAGTAGACAGTTTATCACGCTGCCCAAATCAGTGCTTTCGACTACAATACACTGATATGCACCTACAATGTCATAAATGAGTCTGAGTCATATACCCTCTGGTAAACGTTTACATAACTATGGAAAGATCCACCCTTTTTAATGGGTAAATCAGCTATTTCTATGGCCATTTCCAATAGCTATGTAGTGATGCATGACTTTGCCAAACAGAATTTATCATTGAAAGTCTCGGTACTTGCCTTGGATCGCTGGGCTGAGCATTCATCAGTTGAAGATCCATGCGCACCACCACTTCATGCAGTCGATCCTTCTCCACAGCTGGCCTTGGGGAAGTTAGGGACCACTGACGAAGATGATGTGGCCCGTCTATGCCAGTCTGAGAGTCTGCGAATGGGGTGATTTTTGGCTTCAAATTGGCCAGGGCTGTTTTTCAAGATGTACCCTCTGGTTATTTAACGTAGCTATAGAAAATCACCATTTTTAATAGGCAAACCATCTATAAATGAGCCATTTTCCATGGCTATGTTAAATAGCCAGATGGTATTGGAAAAATGTATTGGAAAGATGTTGAAAGGATTCTGAGACTGGTGGATTGGAAGATGATCTGTAACCAGCATGAAACATTGCACGCACCGGGAGAAAGACCAAAAAACGGTGACAAACGGCTGATCCCGGCACTATAATCTAGCCCATTCATCTGAACAATCTCGGAACCTCTGTTGGTTCACAAAAATAGGACATCAAGAAATTTAAGGAATGTCCAATCGCTTCGAAATAACCCTTACACGACAAATATTGCAAATTTGTGGCGTTTTGCTGAAAAGGATAATGATGTATGTGCACAGGTATGACATAACCTTCAAAGGGGGTACATTGCAATTTGGGAAGGTTCCATTGATTACCTTGTGTTTGTATAAATTCTAACAATCAATGTCCTTTTTCCTTACATGTTTCCTATTGCCGGAGTTGTTGCCGTGACTCATCTCAAGAATCGTATTCAACCCTTGAACCATCTTAAACCTACCTTAAATGGCTTGAATATGCTTGAATGATATGTGACATACATCTGCAATCTACGCCCTTTTTCGCAACTGCTGTCGAGTCGTCATTTTTTTCACAAGGGCCCCGGGCACTTTCTCCCACACCTGGAAAAACCGTCAACTCATAGCAACGAACACACTTTTTTTCACACCAACATAAAACGAGAAACGGCAACGATCAACATACAATCAACATAAACATATTAAACATGTCCCAGAATCCCCTATAAATATCAATGTTTATTCCATGATTTTCTATGTGAAACCCCAGATGAAAGCTGCAGCATGCAGCTACCAGGGTCCTTCCTTGCTCCGCGCCTCAATCCACTTGCTTTTCCTACGCCTAAGGCAGTGGCCACTGGCAAAATCCGCTTGGACGTTCCACTCTTCAACCTCTACGAAAATCTGTTCGACCACTTTCAAACAAAAACAAAAGACTATCTATGACCGTCTAAGAATCTATGACTATGATCTATCTATGACTATCTATGACTATCTATGACTATCTATGACTATCTATGACTATCTATGACTATCTATGACTATCTATGACTATCTATGACTATCTCGTTCACCTGTTTTTCAGCAATGGCGGTGTGCTTCCTTCACCCCCGACCCGCTGAGTCTCAGGCGGAGCAGCTGAAACCGCCTCTGCCTGGTCCCAGGCAAGGTCCCATATGGATGAGGGAACAACATGGAAAAACAGACCTGAAAACAGGTCAAAGCCATGAACACATTCTGGTTGGTGGTTTTTCGCCCTACCCCTCTGAAAAATGATGGGTTGTGAGTAACAGTTGGGATGATTTTTCCCAATACATGGAAAAAGAAAAAATGTTCCAAAGCACCAACCAGCATTTTATTATCAAAGCCTCGATGTCCACTTCGAATGTTTTCGAATGTCCAAAAAGCGTGCATTCCCTGTCCACAGGATAAGTTCGTTGCAAAAATCGCTTAAAAAATCAGCCAGCCGGCCAGCAACTGCAAAAGAAACCCTAGCCAACTGGTCAAACCATGTCAAACATATCAAATCATTCCAATGAAGGTTTCCTAAGTCATGGGAGTACCCCAAATCATCCAGTCATTAGACGTTTAAAAGATTTTTTCAAATGGCGACTTGGGAATCCCAAGTAAGTCAGCAATCGCCATATTTACATATTACACCATAGGACCATATATATATATATATGTATATATATATATAATCATATTGCAAATTACCATCTGGTAAACGTTTACATAACTATGGAAAATCACCATGCTATTAATGTTGGCTGCCTAATAGTAATTACCCCCCCCTATTTTGTTTTCTTTTTAAGGGGGGGGGTCAACCTTCCTATAATAATTTTTGGGAATCTATAGCTGGGATCATGATAATATGTATCTGATAGATTCTCCATGGTTTTGTTGGGTTTCTGATAGATTCTGAATGGATTTGGTGGAGGCGAAGGAGGAGGACGAGGAGGAGGAGAAGGAGAAGGAGAAGGAGGACAACAAAATTGGAGTTGCGGAAAAAAGTTTCCACTATTGCCATGCCTGGTGCAGGTTTGTTATTGCTATTCTGGGGCTTGCAAAGGGGGTACCCTTTGTGGACCTGTTTTTTTGCTTTTTTTAATAAGGGTTTTATAAGGAAATCAGCTGTTTGGTAATTGGATCAGATTTCTGGAATCTAAGCTTTTGCTAGTCAAAAGTGAAGGCTGCTTTGAAAAGGATTTGCTTCACTTGACTCTTTTGGCAATACTAAAAGTAAATAGAGCTAATTGACTTTAGGTATTGGAGAAAAAATTGGAGTTGGGAAAAAAGTTTCCACTATTGCCATGTTGGGTCCACTATTGGCCATGCCCTCTGGGCAAGGTCTGAACATGACTCTTTTGGCAATACTAAAAAGTAAATAGAGCTAATTGACTTTTAGTATTGGAGAATAATTGGAGTTGCGGAAAAATGTTTCTACTATTGACAAGATATCACTATTGGTCAGACAACATTAATGGGAACATCAACTATCAATGACCATTTTCCAGTTCGCAAACTGTTAGTCATTACCAGGCCGGGTATCTCAGAATTATCATCCCAACTGACATTGCAACATCCAGGTGTCATCCCAGCTTATCAGGGCCATGAAAAATCCAGGCCTCAATCTCCAAGGCTTGACGATGCAACATCACCTCAGCTGTGCCATGCCTGGCCACAAACCAAAGGGCCGTCCTCGATCTTGTGCGAAGGATCGTTGGCACTTTCCAGGATTCCACCAGACACATCTGTGGATGTCTGAATGAAAGCGACAGTTTTCTAGACTGCAGAACATTGTGACAATATGTGACAATGCTCAGCCACAAACACTCTCAAATTGACGCCTGGGTGTAAGAACCACAACACCAAAATTTGGGTGAAAGCTTCGAATTTTGTGTCACCAAGGGCGTGGTGCACACTCGACATCAACAAAAATCTGCAGCCGAAGCACGATGCCCTGTTTTTCCAACCTCTCAATCTCCCGCGCCTTCAAACAAGGGGTCAGGGGGGCCCGCATGCATCACACAAAGAATCCAGAATGGCTTCTCATCACGTGCTGAAAAAAAATAGAAGTTCCAAGAGTTAAAAGGGCTTGGCTTTTGTTGGAAATTGGAACATATTGGAACACTCAGCCTACACTCAACCGTTTCGTGCCATGCTGTTTCCCCTGCAAATCCCTCAACGAGAAAGCGATAGAAAGTGGCACCCAAGCAAAACAAGACTTGAAGAGTCACCATTGAGTAGCTGGCTCGGAACCGTTTAGAACGCCAGGATTGCCCCACTCTTGTTTTGGAGGGTGGTAGGACCCAGTACCGCCAATACAACGAAACTGGGATATACAGGGGCAATCTCGGGCAATCTTCCAGGTTGATGTCCCGAAGCTAAACTCTGAGGTGCGGGCATGATGGCCATATCGTCTTTCAGACCGCATTGGCCTCGGTTATCCATGGTTATCCCAATTCCATCAAAATCCCAAGGTATCCCAAGGTATCCAAGGTGCACAATGGAAACAGTATTAGGCTATGTCTGAAAATTGGTTTTTTTTACCCCCAATGAAATACCCATTGGGTGTAGGACGCCACCAGCTCGGGCGAGAATTGGACCTGAACAACTCCAGCCTTGAAAATCATGAAAAATGCGAAAAATGCATTTCTGAAATGTCCCATTTTTCCATGCAAACAAGACATCTATTGAAAACTCAATGGACACTTGGAAATTTGGAATAAACATGGAATTCCAGCTTGCCAATGTTCAGTAGAAATACGTATGTACCGTTTTGAACTATCCACCACTTGCACAGGCAAAACGGTATCTGGCCATCTCTATGCTGGAAGCTCCACTCCGTGGGCCGAAACTAGGGCAACTTGACCAAAGTTGGAGTACTCAACGTTGACTCAACGCGCTCCGAAAAATGGATCAAAATGGGGGGCTACCTGCATCTTGGGACCATCCCGTTCTCCATGTTCATCCATGTTACCATAGGAATTGTCCCTCGAATAGTCACTGGGGAGTTGCATTTTTTCACCAGCAAGATAGACACCCCACGGATTCCGATGATTCCGGGCCTGGACTTCGGTGCGGTGCGATTCTGCCACCACCACAGTCCCTACTTGCCCCAGCAGTTCCTCCACAGATCAAGGCAGATACATCAAGTCGACCTCCTAAAGACCTGGATTTCACCAGGATTTCACCAGGATTTTGGACCGCCGGGACCCGGGAACTGGTCAGTTCTGGCTGGTCCTTCCGTGCGCAACGGTTGTGGATGAAGCCCATGACTTGTCTCTGCGTCCTGGATGTTGAAAAATCGGTGCCGGGTTCACGAGAAATGTCATGTCCCTTGCCGGGTCTCCAAAAGCACCTGATGTTTCAGGTATTGCCAGGTATTGCGCATTCAAAGATCTTCCAATTGAACTATATTGAACTGGTATGCAGCAATATGAGAAATATTCGCAATCAGCTATAGTCAGCAATCACATCAGCAATCACATGAGTGTTGATTGTGAGTCTAAAACACCAAAGACCTGGAAGGAGCACCTCTCCAATGTGGCTTCATCTTTAGTGACCCGAACCTTGGTTCCACTATGTCCCACTATGTTTCACTGGCTCCACTTGGCAGTTAGACCTTCGCAAATTGGACTGAACAAAAATTGAACACAGTATTCAACAATACAGTTCCTGCATGTTCCTGAGAAAGAATGATTGTGACATTGATTGACATTGATTGACATTGTGACAGGTTTTTCTCAGCTGGAATAGCTGGGGCATATGCTTTGGTTCCTGGTTGCAGTGGTCGCAATGCCTGCCAGTCAACTCAATTTGAAGATATTTGAACCGATGAAAATGCCTGATTCGTTGGCATGTCAAAGGCACCAACTCGGATTGATCAGACTCATCATAAACATCATATATTTCATTGAGCCAAACAGGTTTCTGGGAACGGATTCTATTCTCCCAGCTTGCAGTTCATCGGAAAAAAACTGAAAATCGTGGATCACTTGGAGCACCACTGGATCTTGGCGCCTCTCCAAATCATTGCCTTATTTTTAATTTATGTGCCTTGCATCATCTCATGTCTTTGCCTCTCATTATTTACACATGTCCATATTATACTCAAAGCCATATAGATCCATACCCATAGGATCTATGTATGGTATATATGCTAACATTTGGGGTATATTGATGGTGAATGTTACCATATATAGCATACATGGATCCTATGGGATATAGTACGAAGCACATGGACTCCCGGTAGACCTCTGGAAGTAAGCTGGAGGGAACATCCTTCTTCGCCACTTGCCACGCATCGTCAGAATCCTCCCGTCATTGAATCGTGACCATGTCCATTTCCAGGGATTCAAACCTTGAGACCCTCGAAAAAGCATTGGGTATCGCGAGCCGCTACTGTAAAAAAAATCGAAAGAAGAAGCTGAGTTTCAGAAAGCATAGGCTATAGGTGTTTCATCCCTTACGTACTTTTCCATGAAAGTCATCATGCAATCTTTTTCTACTGATTCTACATACCTGTTCATTTTCACAGCTTTCAATCGTAAAAACACACCTTGACAGGATAGAACCTGTCAGGATCGAGGAAGTACTGCTCGGCCCAACCTCAATGAAGAGGGCGAATCATCCGCCATGGACGATTAGAAGATGGACTATTGGATAGATTCTGATAGATTATTATAGAATATTATAGATCATTAAATTATTATAATATGTATATATATATATATATCATTTATGATAGTCAAACAGGGGGTCGGAACAGAAACCCAAAACAAGGGGAATCTAAACCGGCAAACCCTGCACATGAAAACAAGCAAATGCTCCTTTTTGGACGGAGCACTTGAGCCATAACATCAATGGCGCATTGACCTTAACCCAGGTTGTTGTTAGGGTTATGGTTTACCCATCTCTAATTAAGACTCTCTATCTACTTACTGCATCTAAGTAGAAGGTGCTATTCTGTACATATGGTTGGATGTACTACTTCGGAATGTTATGGAATCATAGCTACGGCATGTCTACACTAGACCTACTACCTATGCTATACATAGTGGGGCTCAGGGGTCGATATATTTCAACTCCCCCCTCGCCTGTTCCACACGCACTGCGCATTGGCAGTAACCTACGCAACTACTGTCGCGCGAACGGGCGTCCGCTGCGACCTAGGCGTTGGCTTTAAGGTCTAAGGGGAGGTCAGTACGTATTCCTAAAAGGATTAGTGCTGCTGCCCATTTGTGTGGAGGCAATGCCTTGGTGAATATGTCTGCCGCCTGGTCATCGGTGTGGGTGTACTCTATCTCAGCAGAGTCATCTCTGAAGACTTCGGACAGGCAAGACAAATTAACTTTGTGTGTTCTAGTTATATGGCGAAGCTTGGGACTATATCCTTTCTTCACAACTAGGATTGTTGCTTGATTATCTTCGTGGACCTTAAGGGTTACGGAGCGTGCAAGCAACAGCTCCCATAACTGTAAGGCAGGCAAGCCTTCTTGATAAAGCGAATGGGCTAAACTAACAACCTCGCTTTCCGTGGTCGATCTAGAAGTGGATGTTTGGCGCTTGCTAATCCATGCAAGTGGGAAGAAGGAACTAGGGCCAGTTAAAACCAAAAAGCCACCGGAGGTTGAGCGTGCAGTGGATCTGTCGCCGGCGAAGTCGGCATCGACAAACAATCTGAGCTCTAGGTCTTCAGGCTTGTCCTGAATGGTACCTACTAACCTGTAGTGTGGTGTTGAGGCTATGTACTGGATTAATCTTAGGACCTTCTTATCATCCCCCCTAGACCACGACTGGACCTTTGTGGCCAGATCATTGATAGGCTTGATGATGTCAGGGCGTGCAAGTCTACCTAACCAAAGGGCTTTCATCAAAATCTTACATGCGTTTGGAGCTAGTTCCCCCTTAGTTTCATCATCTTCAATGGTGATGGATCCCTCAGGTGGAAATGGCGTGGCGGCATGCTTGAGTTTGGTGACACCAGTTATTGATTTATACAAATCTACGGTCTGCTGAGCGTAGTCTGCCATATCAAAAACCATGCCATCTTGGGCTTGGAAGACTGCACATTTTTCATGACCTTCGGTCTTGGATAGTGGGGTAACAACATGGTTGCGTCCAAGAATCCTATAGATGGGCTCTGGGGGTTCGATGTCTACCACAGAAGTTAACTTACTCCAGAATGCATCATGCTGGTCGGCAGGGCCAGCAAGAGTTAAATCGTCTACATAAGTTGACAATAGTAACTTTGTATCTGGGAAGTAAAAATTTCCTGGGTACTCTTGAACTTCCTGTCCACCAAGGTTCTTGATGATGACTTTCAGGTGTTGTTCCCACAGGCCTCCGGCATCGGGATGACCGTATAAGGCTTTAATTAAGAGGACTACGGGCTTAACAAACTGTTGTTTCCAATACTTAGGGCGAAGCTCCGGGGGAAGCTCAATCCAGGTTTTGTATTTGGAAGATAACAGTGCTTGGACGTAAGCTTTGACTGCATCTGCAGCCGTCGCGCGGTTACCCGGCAGCGACCCATACGCCAGGCAGGCGTTTAGCCCTTGGACGGAGGTGGGATTTGCGCCGAGTTCTTGGTAAACCGCGGCTGCACCATGTTCGTCCTTTGCGCAGTCTCCTCTGTACACAATGCGCCCCTTCATTTTGTGAAGGTGGTCTGCAAGCTCGTAGAATTTAATGGACGCGATGGTCATGAGCTGACCAAAGTGTACTGATACACCCGAAGCCTTAGCTTCTTTGCGTACATCTTCCTTCTCGCGGACCGAGCCAAGATCCCAAGTACCAGCCTTAACCAAACCATCGGCTTCGGCGCGAATTGCCTCGAGGGCCTTGGGATTGGACAGCATCTCTGCACGGGATAAGAGCTTAGTGACCATTGCTTTGATCTCAGGCGTTGGCGCCTTAGGGTCTTCCAGGTGGAAGGCTTGAGCGATCAATTGTTCGTGGTCAAGAAGTTCTGTAACCAACCTATTAGCAGTGGGGTCTGATTCAACAGCTAAGGCTAAATCTTCAAAACCAGCTAATGGGGATACATGCTTAAGGTGCTGCTCAATTTCCCTATGGGGTTGAGGCTCGCTAGTTGCCGGTCGGCAAGGCATAGCAGGGACGGACTGCTGGGCACATTTTGCGGGATACAAAGCTTGCGCAATTAGATTAGTCATTTGGGGCGGATACATTGCGGAGCGAGTGGTCTCAGCTCCCTCACATCTGGAATGAGGTTGCTGGCATCGACACCGCATATCTTGAAACGCCTCTACAATTCGGGGAGAAGTGGTCTTGAGTTTCCATGGCTTTTTGATGGGATAACCATTTCTGTCGGTTAAACCTACGGCACACCTTTCAAAATCAACGGTCATAAACTGGGGATGCTTCTCAAAGAATGCTACAACGTCAGGCCTTTTCCAGCCAGAGCAAGGTCTTGGCCATTCAAACGTTACAGTACCACCATGATTGAGAACCCTTTCAGCGCGTTTGGAAAAACTCTTAAACAACCGTTTGGACTCTTTGACCTGGTGGGCTAGCTTCCTAATGAATGCGGCACCACCCCTCTTCCTATTGATGTACTGCCAAGGGGATCCGGATGTGCATGGGATAGAGGCCCACATATGTGGAGGTGCAACCTTAGCGGCTTCATCTACTTGATAGTCTAGTTGCTCACATTGTGACTCATCTCCCAGGTCTATCCTATCCTTACAAAGTCTAACATGATTAATGCCATATTCTTGGTGAGTAAAACCCATCTGGGAGTCCTCAGAACAAGCAAATTCAAACATGGTTGACTTAGCATTGGGTCTGGAAGCTTTCTTGGCAGCTTTCCGGCTCCTACGATTATCGCGGTTAGTTGGCTTACCTACAGCGGGGCAACCAAAAACAGGCAGCGACTTTTGACATAGGTCGGAACATCGATTGGCAACTTGGGGAAGAATAGCTACACCGGAAACAGAAACAGCAGGCTCGGCTGGAGCGCTGGGTTCGGATGAACCTGGTACCTCACCTCGTATGAAGATTTCCTCAACCAGTGCTCTGTCCTCTGCGGAGAGGTGAGATGGTATCGGATCGGGATCAGGCAGATCATCACCGCGGAAGATGATGCCATGTGCTTCATCATCCTTGTCTTCTGCTTCTGTCTCACTTGCGGGAGGTGGAGCTTTCTTTTCTTTTTCGGCTTCTTTTTCTTTTTCAACCAACATTGCGAAGCGGGCTCTGCACTCATCAGTGTGCACGCGTGAATGGCCAGTGCAGCCTTTGCAACCAGGGGTCTCTTTCCACTTAAGGATACGGTCTACGGTTATATAAACAGAACGACTTTTGAGACCTGGTGTAGAAGGTGAGGCTATTCCGCCCTCCTTGGGGAAGGGCACATCCTTTAAGGCATATTCAGGCAACTTAAGATCATCTGGGTTATCCCCCCTGATGAGAGCTTGGTGGCGTGAAAAACCTACTGGAAAAACAGGATCACCTTCAGGGACAAAGATTTCTGCTTCCGGAACATCAACGGCTGAATTCCCACCTCTAGTGCGATACTCTTGGTAATCTAACACCCTTAAGATATTTCTATATCGGAAACCGGGATCAATCCTCCAACCCAAAAACAGACCAGGTGACATGTTGGGCTCCAAAGTCCTTTTGGTGGGTGACTTCCTACGGTAATACACTAACTGACCAAAGCATAACCTCATGCCATCAAACTTATTCCTAGTAAGCGACTCCCATTGGGTTTTGTCGGGGTCGGCTATTGAAGGCTTGTCGAATGACATTGAAAGGCAAGCATATGGATAGCTATATGTGTGGTACTCATAGGGAAGGCCAGATTGGAGGTGAACAGTGCGACAACATTCTTTCTCCTCTCGAACATCTCTCTCGAGGATGGCATTGTGGGGCCATCTGTTCGGCAACGAGGTTTCTGGAACCATGCCTACGGCATGTGCCGCCTGCTCAAGCTCGCCTGCTTCGTCCATTTTAATGAACGTTCGGGTGGTGAGCTCTGATCCACGCAATCCTAAGAAATGCCTAAAGTTGCGAGCATGCGCGTCAGCAGTACGTTTAGACAATGGGTATGCAACACGCGCACCGGAGTACGCATCGCGGATGACATGATGCGACCTTATTCCCCCTATACCTACACCCAAGTGTTCGGACCCTTTAGCTAAGATAACATCATCAGTAGCAAGCTGTTCCAGCGGCTGCTTTGGGGGATCAACAAAATCATCGGCTTTGCCATCTTTGACATGTGAAACCCTCATGGCGGTATCTTTTGCTATGTGGCACAAAGGACAATAGGGATTTTTGGGAAAATGGGTACGCAAATGTTCAGGGCTAGTGGCTTGCTGCTTTAGAACTTCATCCTTAGGCGGCTCACCATCAGCTAGCTCTACCAAAAGCTTATCATCCATTGGGTGTTTAGGCTCCGACGCGCTAGGGGGCCCAGCAGCGTCCTCAACAGGCTCGGGATCTAGAATTTCATCTAATTCTGAAGGACTAGGAAGATCACTACCACCAAAGCTAGGGGCATAGCCAGGGTCGTTAGGATCTTCTTCATCATCAGCGGGAGCGTCAGTTTCCACAGGTGGAGCTGGCACGGCAGTTGACACAGG